TTTGAAAATTGCCCTGCTAATTCTTGGCTGTTGTTTGCTGCCTTATATACGCTGATTAAAATTTAGTTTAGTCCGCAATAGTAGATCCTTTTAATGTAAGGAAATTATAAATAGTATACTTGATTACTTTTGCAGCACTTTAGTACATAGATAGGGTGCAATACCAGGCCAAATTGCAAAAAAAATTGCCGATTAATATTCCTCCAAATTCAATATTTTTTGTTTCCAATTAAGGCACACAGTCATAGGAAACAGAATTTAACAATAAATTTTGTTGAAAAAATGCCCTTTGCGTCTTACTTCGCTTTGAAATGCGTGTACTGCTCTCAGGGACGCCGGAACGCTAATGGGGCAAAGGGGGGCGGACGCACACCAAGGGCACCTTTACTGAAATTTTTTTTTTAACTGCTAAATTTTTTGGCGACCTCCCCCCCCCTTTCGGACATACAAAAATTTTCCGTGAAGCCAAAAAATTTTCCGGATATCTTAAATTTTCTTCATTTCTTCAAAATATTTTTTTAAATTCCAAAAATTTCCCAAAATTTTTATAAATATAAACTATAAATTACCTGAATCTCGTGATTTTCCTACAAAAAGCATCGTTGGAAATGTGATTTATCACGTATTATTTTACAACTAAAAGGGCACTTCTGCCCCCCTGCCCCCCTAGCAAAAGGCAAGGGGGCAGCCCCCCAGTTCCGGCGTCCCTGACTGCTTTCGAATTAAGCACTAATTCAGTATGGAATGTAAGTGTTGTGCACCGGACATGTCCGGTGCACAACGCGCTTCATTTGCTCAGGCTATCAACCCCAAGAGCAAGATGGCGATCACAAAATTTGCTCCTGTGAGTTTCGCTAATTTTTGTTTAATACTTGTCTATAAATGCAGTTTTGTTGCTTTATATCTATATATTTACTTATAATTATGTCTACGTTAACCACTGAGCAATTTATCAAGATTCTCGACGAGAAACTCGAGGAAAAATTTGAGCAGAAAATCACACCTTTAAGTCAAACGATTGTCGATCTCAAAAGCAAAGTCGAGCATGTTGTGGAACATATAACATTCATAAATGCTAAGTACGAAGAACTGTACTTAAAACTTGAAGCCTCTGAGAAGGAAAATAAGTCGATTATGGAAGGTAATAAGATCTTGAAAATGTCTATTCAACAACTTGAGCGTTCAGTTACCACCCTTGATCAAGCTCATAATGACCTTGAACAATATGGACGAAGGGAGTGTATTGAGATTAGCGGAATCCGTGCTTCTGGACCAGGTCAAAGTGAAAATGTAAACGCTGTTGTTAGTAATGTTGGTAAGCTGATTGGTGTTGATGTTAAGCGAGAAGACATATCAGTATGCCACCGATTACCTCAGCTAAAAGGATACAAAGGTAGAAGAAAGGAACCTCTGATTATAGTAAAATTTGTTAGGAGAGAAGTAAAAGAAAAATTTTACAAAGCAAGGGGTAAGCTACGATCGAAGACAACTAAGGATATTGGCTACTATGTTGAAAATAATATATATCTTGCTGAAAGTCTCACGGAACGAAATAAAGCTCTGTTTAGAAGCGGATTAGATGTGAAGAGAAACAAGAACCACAAATTTATTTGGACCTCTAACGGAATCATTTACTTGAGAAAGGATGAAAATAGTGATGTTATCAAAATTAAATGCAAGGAGGATCTTCCAAAGATTTCACTTACAAATCGATAAGTACTTTTTATACACTATTTATATAATATGACATGCCTTCAATGTTTAAATGCCACCTCAATTGTTAATGACAGGTGTGCTGAACTCGCTAGCTCATATCCATATCTAAGTGATGCTGCCCCTATTAGAAATTTACAGCACCTTTCTGACTTAGATATTGATGTTGAGATACCTTCAGCTAGTAATTTAAAATATTATAGCACTCATGACTTCCATAGTGATTATGATATTAGTGAGTGTTTTAATAGTAATCTATGTTTTTCAGCATTGCTTGCAATATTAGAAGCTTGTCTGCAAATTTTGATAACCTGCTTAATATGATATCTGAACTGTATTATTCATTTTCACTTATTGGTCTTAGTGAAACAAAACTCAAAGTAGATCAGCCTCAGCTATCAAATATTGATATATTGGGTTATCAATTTATTTCACAACCTAGTCACTCAATGGCTGGTGGCATTGGTTTTTATGTCAAAAATAGCTTATCCTATAAGGTAATTTGACAACATCAAAAGATGAATTTGAAGCTCTTTGGATAGAAATACAAAATAAGGGAAAAGCAAGTATAATATGCGGAGTAGTCTATCGGCACCCAAGAGGTGACTTGGATACTTTTATTGAATACTTAAATTCTGGAATTGAAAAGATAAACCAAGAAAATCAAATCTGTGTCATTATGGGGGATTTTAATGTGGATCTACTTAAGGTGGATTCACATCAGAATTCTGATAAATTTCTTCATACTATGGGTTCATACTTCTTTCAACCCCATATCTTGCAGCCAACTAGAATAACTGATCATTCAGCCACATTAATTGATAATATTTTTTTGAATACCCTTGATCATTTTGTTATTAGTGGCAACATTGTATATGATATTACTGATCATTTACCAAATTTCCTAATTTTTGATAAATTTACTTATATTCCGAGTAATATAAAACTATATAAGAGAGATTCCTCCAAATTGAATATATTCAGATCTAATTAATGATGTTCAAAATATCAACTGGGATGGAGTTTTTGCCTCAGAACTTGACCCATCTTCAATGTTCCACTCATTTTATGACCGAATCTCAGTTATAATAGATAAGCATATACCAGTAAAGCAAATAACACGAAAAGAACTTAAGCTAAACTCTTAAAGTGCCACTAACCCCCTAAATTTTCTTTTCATAAAATCAATAACCACTATTTATGGAGTACAAAAATGAAAAAATTGTTTTAATCGGTTGAATTCTCGCTATTCTATGGCTTCTCAAAGTTTGAAAAATTGCCCTAAAATCGACGCCATTTTGTCCCACGAGCGAGCGCCGATGATCTGGGCTTGTGACGTCAATTGGTGAACCGGCTGTTGTGTCAAAACAAGTGTTTACAGTGCTAGGCGAGTTTGTTAGGCATGCGAACGGCGAGAAAATGCCGAAAAGATGCGTTGTTGCCGGTTGTAGCAACATAGGAGATAAGGAAAAAGAATTATCGTTGCATGCAATTTCTTATTCGGGGGACGAACGGCCCGAAGCGAAAAAAAACCGAAAGAAATGGACTGACTTCGTAATAAGCCTCAAACGTGCAAAATGGACGCCGACGTCGTATTTAGTCATATGTTCTGAGCATTTCAAGCCTGAGGATTTTTTGCGACGGTTTTCCCATGTCGAAGGTGAAAGCTTCGTTGGCAACAGATGGCTCAAAAGGGACGAGATTGGAATTTGTGTATTCCCAACAATCATGCCATCAGCTGACGCACAGAAAGTTTCAGACAGATACAAGAGAATGGTATGCTAATTTTGTATTTTATACATATTTGTGCGTAACTTGAATTTGTTTGACTAAACTGATTTAATTAATAAACATACCATTATATAACATGCTAACACTTAAACTTGATATACAGTAATTGGGTAAAGCTTATAAGAAAGACAATTTCGTTTAGTCTGTGAGAGCTTTCTTTGTTATTTCTGTCTTCAGCCTTGCAGATTTTTGTAATTTCCGTGTGCAATTTGATACAGTATTATACAGTGATATAATTCTCCATCTATGTCTCTTGCTATGCCTATGTTTTAGTGAAGTCAATATGCCCACTGACTATGACCCATAGGTGTGTATTTAAGGATGTCTGAAGAGGGTATCATATTTGACTGTCAAAATAATTATAGTGAAATATTGATCAATGCATACCATGTACCCATGTATATATATATGCATGTTTGATTTGTACAGATTATGTCGAAGAAATATTTCAAACTTTTCTCAATGTTACCAAAGATGATCTTAAAAAGGCAGCCAAGCAACTCAAAGAGTACGGTGTCTTTGCAAAGTGTTGCCCACTGCCTGTGGCCCATAGATAAGTTACCCAGTATGCTTGCTGTTAATATAAATCTTTTTGTTACTGTAGTTTCACTACTACGTTGTTGAACAGAGCCAAAAGAAGTCTAAAGCAGCACCAAAATGCAGGGCATGTGAACAACCCATGAAAGGACACAAGTTTGTTACAGACTGTCCAAGGAATGAAAGGAGCACATCATAGTGTATTATATGGATAAGGCATTTGAGGAGGGAGGGCATATTGGGAGGGTTTTTTTTTCAGAAGGGCATATTAGGATTATTCAGGATGTTGGGGATTTATAATAGAGATTGGGGCTTATATTACAGCAGGAAGGGTCTTAACAGAGGGGAATTATTTGGAAGGGTGGTGCTTATTAGGGATGGAGCTTACTAAGGAGGCTTACTAAGGAGGGTGGTGCTTATTAGGAGAGGACTCAATAGAGTGGGTACTTTATAAGGAGGGTAGTGCTTATAAGGGGGGGGGGGACTAATAGAGAGGGTGTTTATTGGGAGGGTGGTGATTATTGTGGAAGGGGTTTAATAGGGAGGGGGCTTAATAGGGAGGGTGTTTTATAGGCAGGGTGGTGATATTTGTTAAATAAATTATATTATGCACTACTTGTATCAAGTTTGCTCAACTTTACTTGTTTTCTATCCCTGATGAACACTAGTCAAAACTGATTTATGTTGATACCAAATATGTTCCATATAGGTTTCATTAGAGTATAATATTTAAATAGTACAGTAAAACCCAGCTTTACAAAAGAACCAATTCAGACTAGAATTCCAAAACAGCTTCTTATTTTATCGAAGAAGCAAGAAATTAAACATCAATTAAAGAAAATAAGCTCTTTATAAAGTAATGGAAACACTGTTATTTTGTAAACATCTACAGTAGGTTCATATACGATGGGTTTTACTGTATGTTAGCTTAGTCATTAATTTATTCAAATATTTTATCCTCCTCCATTTCAAATCTGGTAAATGATTCATCTTTTGTGAGAGGGAATTTCTTCCTTATTGCATGGTATGCACATGCAGCAGTGGGATTCCTGTTTTTCCAATTACACCATACACCAATCACAAGCTTATTCTTTACTCTCTTATGCACAAAACATGAGTTTTAATATCACATGAAAACGAGGCATTGGGTCAAAAGTAAATAAACGGTAAGGTCTATTGAGTTTCAATATAGGTAACTCTCCCATTAATGTTTAGTAACATTGTCTGGTTGTTTAGACAGAGTAAGATAAATATGAGCACACTATTGAGACACAGTGCAGCTTCCAACATTTCTCTCAATGGTCTATCATTATCTAAGTGAAATATGAAACAAATGGTGTTCTGTAATTTTACTCTGCCTGATACTGGGAAAGTCCATGAACATATAGTTCCGCATGTTCCTTTGTCAAATAAAATTGCCTGGTGTTAGAGAGATGTGTAGGTAGGGTGCATAGCAGCTTATTACTAAATGGTTAAGTAGCAACATTCCAGCTCACAACAGCAATATATTTGCATTCTTGCCAATTACTCAAAAACTCCAGGCTACAATTTTCACATTTGCACCTAATATAAATTATGTAATATTCACAACATGAGTGGCCTTGCCATGCCATGAAATAATCTTTAACGTAAATATGTTTATTAAAATAGTATAGTATAGTATAGTATAGCATAGTATAAGCAAAATTTGCGACTTACCACTCATAACGTTTTGCAGTTTCATGCAAACGCTTCAATATCTCTTTAATGATCTTGTTCGCCCTCATGTCCACTCCTCATCAGCGACAGGATCATCAACCCGAGCATAGGCTGCATAGCTGCATAGGCATGATATAAAGGCATCATCATCGCTTGAAACCAGATATATCGGCTTCTAAGCTTTCTATCCCTACATTTTGTCATATTCTGATAAATAATCGTTCCCTGATGCGAATTAACGAAGAAGCCTCGGAAGATGCATCCGTCGAAGACATTGCAAAAAGATATAAAAAACCGCGAATTATTCTTCGAAATTAAAGCTTCTTTGTAATGGTAAATGTATAGTGTTTACAAGGAGGCTTCGCATGAGTTCACCAATTGACGTCACACATTCCTCCCTCACCAGTCTCCCAAAACTCGGTCGTGGAACAAATGTGTGCACACTTTGAGAAGCCATAGAATTGCGAGAATTCATAAATAGCGGTTATTTATTATTTGAAAAAAAAAATTAAATAACGTGCACTTATAATAATTACGTCACTTAATTTCACTTCGTATCATCGTATCATTGAAAAATATACCTTGCCCAGTCTTAATAAATAACGCGTATTTATAATAATTACGTCACTTCATTTCACTTCGTATCATCGTATCATTGAAAAATATACCTTGCCCAGTCTTATTAAATAACGTGCATTTATAATAATTACGTCACTTCATTTAACTTCGTATCATCGTATCATTGAAAAATATACCTTGCCCAGTCTTAATAAATAACGCGCATTTATAATAATTACGTCACTTCATTTCACTTCGTATCATCGTATCATTGAAAAATATACCTTGCCCAGTCTTATTAAATAACGTGCATTTATAATAATTACGTCACTTCATTTCACTTCGTATCATCGTATCATTGAAAAATATACCTTGCCCAGTCTTCAAAATAACGTGCATTTATAATAATTACATCACTTCATTTCACTTCGTATCATCGTATCATGATAACAAGTTTAGCTTGAAAATTGGACGGGTATTCTATAATCGCTCCACATATTTTTTAACTACTTGCTCAAATCAGCAGCAGCATTTATTCATATGTATTGTTTAAATTAAACAATTTTCATTGTGAGAGGTCTTGCACCAGTCAATGTATTAAAATTTGTTAGCCTTTTAGTGTAATGCCGGGAAAATTATCCATGTTTTTCTATTAAACATAACTATGTCATAGTATTCAAATTAACCAGACTCTCTACTGACATCTCATGCTAACTCGTTAAGATGAATGTGCTCAATACTTTTTTTATTTTACCTTCTCTAACATCAGATCATTTTACTTGTAAAAGAGAGTGGACAACTTTGTCACTTTGATAGGTTACCTTGCTGTCTCCCTGTGTTTTGTGTAAATTAAGACCCAATTCACAAATTCACACTAATGTGCTCTATTTCAAAGCTCAAAATTTTGCCTGTTAATACCATACTATTTTGCATTATTTGGCGTTAACACATTTAGATACAATTCATCCTAACACTCAATCCCCACTTTGTGTGAGCCCCATAGATGAGCCTTTGTGCTCTTGGGCAAATGCAAAAAAATCTATTAAAATATGTTTATATAAAAAAATCCCCACTTTCAGTACTTTGATATTTAATTATCAGATGATTTTACTCATCAAAATGAGTGTTGGTAATTGAAAGGTTAATAATTAACTGCAAAAGCTGCTGTGTTGGCATATTTAGAAGCAATATTTAATGTGCCCTACTTTTAGTACTTTGTTATTTTACTGTGTTTATTCTATTAATGTGCTTTACTCTCCACTTAAGGACGGACCATTAGAGTGGGGATTTTCTAAGAGGCAATATATTTTTTGTACACCTATAGAAGGAATTTTTTTTCTCACTTGATGGTTGGAAATTTTTTTTTAAAGGGGCCCTACAGTAATTTTTTAGTCAAGTAAGTATTGTTTACAGTTTTTGTTATTGTCACTACTTGACATGCGCACCACAGTATGCATGCGTTTTCCGGTGTGCGGAAGTACTCGTACTCATGGATACTGCATGTAAGATACAGCCAAACGAATCTCCGTGGAGTCCCCTACTTAAGGTGGCGTTTCGACTAAATAATGACTGTAGGGCCCCTTTAAGTGAAATTTATAGGCCGAATGTTAACAAGGGGGGCTCTCCAAAGTGTCCTGAATTGGCGGGAGGGGGGGGGGGTACAATAAGATATTTTGGAAATTCTAAATTTTGTTGGGGCTTATTCTAATCATTGTGGGACAAACATTTGACGTTATTCTTATTAAAAACAATTGCCATTAGTAATATAAAATATTCTGAGCGTCTCAGAAGGGTAAGGAATTCCAGGTTTCTGTACTACATTTTGAAGATGTAAAGCTGGTGAGGCAAAGGGGGGCGGACGCACACCAAGGGCACCTCTATAGAGCAAAACTTCAAAATTTACCGGAAAATTTTTTTTAAATCGAAAATTTGGGGCGACCGAAGCCCCCAACCTCGTTCCCAGGGCTTTTCCCTTTTTGTCACTGGGACGGCGGGAAAAGGCCCTGGCACCGGCCGGTCTTCTATGTATTCTGATTGGTCAATGACAAGTACATTATTATGCAAATAATGCAATCTTGGATTAATTTATTCAAACTTTGGGATAAATGAACATTTCATGACCCTTTCATGCAAGGAGTGACCATTATTAATACTTTGTCCGTCTAAGAAATATTTTTGGCAAAATCTGTGGCAAAATGGTTAAATTCGATAAGATTTATACACAATTTGTCGAAGGTTAGTATTATTGTTTGTTTTAAACTGTGAGAGAAGATTCATTGTGTACTAGAACATACCTCTGAGGCTCTGTCTGAGTATTTAGGGCAAAATGTGCCTTCATATTTGGCTTCGTATAGCGTTTATAATGTTTATATTTATAAAGCTAAAGTCTGGGTTTATAAACTGAAACATGACTTTTAGTTTTTGATGTTCTTCATAATCGAGTTTAAATTGGCCTAATTTATAGTTAGTTACCACTAGAAATTCGACGATATTTTGTTATATCATATATGCAACAGTGTTTACAACTTTTGAATAATATGTGATTTGGTTTTGTTTCAGATACTATTACATGTTGCTTCATTTTACCATAAATTGTGTTAAAAAAGTGATTTGCTAATTTGGCTGATGTTACAGTTTTCTGATGTGTTTTGTTTGGATGATATTAGAACAATTTCAATATGAAAGTGCAGGTGTCTTTAGACATGAGCCATAATGTATATATCAAAATACTGATAAAATCCGTTTCCAGCTTGATTGTATTTGCATTTGTGGTATTTGCATTGTTGCAGACAAAGTTGTGCAATGGTGGGCTTATGTCACATACTCGTATGTAATTCCATGTACCTGCATGTACAGTACTTTGATGCCTCACGAGATGCTTCGAATTGTGTAATAAAGGGCTGTTCGCAGGAGTTGGGCTGTCTGGCCTTAAATTGCATTGTTTTTATGATATTTTAAGATTGTATTCATATGGCTGGACCATCCTGCCATTGCCACAATGTCTGATGTTCAACCAGGCTTTAAAATCAGGTTACAATGCATGCTTGAAAATATGCAACAATTTCACTGCTAATATTCCAGAAAATCCT